TTATAAAGATATTGTGAATGAACTAATTAATGCTTATCAAGGAATGGGATGTAACATGTCTCTAAAAATTCACTTTTTGGATTCTGATCTCGATTTTTTTTTTCGGAAAATTTAGGTGCGGTAGGCGATGAACAGGTGAACGGTTCCACCAAGACACTTCTGCTATGGAAAAACGGTATCAAGGCAAGATACTTAGGAACAACATATCACCGTAAAACATCGTCAACAACATTCTGAGATTTATTCGAGTGTTTATTAGTACTCTTACACACACATATCCTTATATTTTACGAGTATAAGCAGCCAAAAAAATGTCTTATTACAAGAAAGCCGTGGGTGATAGAAAAAATCGAATGCTATTTCCGGCTTTTTGGGTACGTTTTACATAAAAATCATCTTGTTTTGTCCATGTCATAAAAAATTATTTTAATATTGTTCACCAGTGCTATTTCCTTTTTCTGAGAAGTGTAATATTTTAAACTTTTCTTTTGTTTTTATGGTCACTGTTTGCCATTTGAACGTACTTACTGTTTTTCTTTATAGTTTGTATCAATGTTTTTTTGTCGGGTTGAAAAACAGCAAAAGCTGACATTCCACCTTTTCGTCACTATTTTGTTTTCTTCGTATTAAGCCAATTATTTAGAAAGGTTGTAACAAATAAAGGCCATTTATTATGATTATTCATTAGTATTATCGTTTAGCAAGGACCAGGACTTCCGACAGTTTTATAGAGATGAGCGTAACCCCACCAAGTCCAGACTTATAAATTATGGTAGGTTCAATGAGCGTGTGTATATAAAACATACTATGGAGCATGAATCCGCATCGATTTTCCAGGTTTAAGGCAATCTCGTACTCCAGCTCACCACATCGCGACTGGTGGTATCAGTATTGTTCCGTTGCACAGACAACCAATGTTTCGGACATGCGTGAAACGGAATCGAAAGGAGATGGAGCCAAAATGAACTGCGATTGGAAGGAATTGGACTCCTTAACGAATCGATGGCATCGATTCAGAGAATTGGAATCGAATCACCAAAAGGAACGATTTGGCGCAGCTCATGCTGTCGATACTTCGCTATTTAGGTTTTCCATCTAGCCAGTTTTGTTATATAAAATACCAATCAATCAGTTTATCTTACATGCAAAAAATTATTTCATTTTTTAGATACAAAATACTCGTAAATGTACTAACATCCCAATATGGAAAATATTTCTGTTTTGTGGATAGCAGATCACCGACATTCAGTAAAAAAAATTTTTATACTTGTTCAAGACTAGAATAGAATACCAAAACAAAAAGTTGTATTTGTTACCGAATATAGCCATGCTACAATTAGTTTTTGTACGGATAAAGAAGATTCGTTCTACTCTTACGTCGCACACACACATTTCCATAGTGCAACACCAATGTATTGATTGATAGCAAATCGTACCACGTGCGCCAACGTAGACTCCAATGTCTGGAGTCCACATTAAGCAACAATTCCAAGTTTCACCCTCCCTTTCACAGAAGATAGTAATCCGTCTTCATATTTTTGAACTAATACTTTGCAGAAATACATGTTCTTTTAGTTTTATGATGTAAGACATTTATTCCAACAATTATGAACTCAGATGCAATTACAGAGTACTTATTGGATGGTTTACCTGTGAAACAGGACTAAAACAAGTTATACAGAGAATGGTAAAACTGATTACATTAGGCGGAAAACGGTTTTGCTAAAATCATTCTTATTACAATCTCTGATAATATGAAAATTATTTTGTCATGTCAGTATTGTATATTTAAGTCTACAAAATACCTACTTTCTTATATTATACTCTAACATTCAGATTGATTAACAAGATTATTGTATTATTAAAACGCGAGAGAATTTTAGTCTGAATAAATATATTGTTTCGTAATCTAATTTATTATTTCACATAATCGCTTTTTCATCAGTTTCGTGGCTTTCCGAATATATTAACTTTTGCTTGCATTTATGTAATATATAATTTTTTTATGAAACTCGTTAGATAAATAATATATGCAAAAACATTCGCTTTTGCGTCTATACACGGTGCCCCAGAATAATTTGAGTTGTTTATCTCAAACAAGACATTGGTCTTAGTTGAATTTCATGGAAAAAGTAAGTTCTAGCTGTTCTCTAGATTATAGTTTATACAAGTAAAACATACTTGCACTTTTTTGCTAATGTACGGAGACAATTATTTAATGTTTACTTGAAGCAGAAACTATGATTTTGTGTAACCCCATAACTATTTTCTGCCTCCAAATGACCATCAAGTTTAAAGACATTACAAGTAAAGCTTTGTTGTTTTTTTAATATTGATACCTTCGAAAATGTTATGAATGTGCACAAAGTTTTATGGGACTGAGGTATACAAAAACAGGGCCTTGGGGATGTTTCCATTATATTTACGAGTACTATATCACACAACGATAAAAAAATATGAATACCAGAATTATCACGATCATAATACTTTTATCGCCTACATCATGGGAAGTGAAGTCTATACTCCTAAGCCCCCCCACTACAATCGACATGATTATTAGAATACTTAATTTTTTTTTATCCAGCCTATTTTCAAGGTTTTCTTCATTTGTTGAGCTACATGAATAGTAACTACATTTTTTAATTTGCTGGTTCAAAACAATCAAATCAAATCCAGTATGGAGAAAGAGGTCTGTCTCTCAAGTTGGAGTTTGTATTGAGGTTTATATCAGAACTCAAACAGCTCATAATTGTCTAAACAAAGCGTTACAGATGACATCCGAAACAAGACGTACCTAGTAGAACAAACCGAATCCGATCTCTGCTAGTCACTAATGAATCTTTGCTGACATGATTTATTAGAACACAATCTATTCAAACATGGAATATGAATGCTATTATAGGGCGGAAATACATTCTAAATTTTGCACATACTTTCATGAATTAAGCAATATCGTGTCTTGCCAACATTTTACAATGAATGCTGCTGGCATTTTGTAATCCGCTTCCCTAGACTCTGGATATTATGTGCATTTAATGGAGCAATAATTAATACGAACCATTAATCAGATATAATCGAGTAAGGCGATATGCGATCCCAGTTAAATAGTGCCATATTTTATTAACAACTTAGAATCGATAAACATGTATTGTTAAAAAATGTGTGCATTAAGATTTTTTGTTTTAGATAGATAGATGGTTTATTGTCTTCGGATTGTAGATATGATATAAGACTCGTCAGATATATCTCTATGAATACATTACGGTAACTCAGGGTGATATTATGGTGAATTGCTCTAGTTCTTCACCGGGAACACAGATGTCGCTGTAAGTTTGAGTGGCGAAAGTTTATCATATATGCTGTGTGCACCTGATGAAAACAACTATTGTTTTAAAAATCGTAAGCTATTTGTAAAAAACTGTTTTTCAGGGTGGATAGTCTGCGCGGTATTTTTTGATATCATCTGCCTTCTTAGACTGTTTATATGGTATATAACCTAGAAATCATTGCTTTTAGTATTCTAAACTCTTCGCCACGCTATTCACCATTTCATCCATGGCAATTGGGAGAAATGGTGAATTCGAACATGGGTGATTCGGCTAAGACTTTTGTTTACGTGTGAAGTATTTCTTTAAATCTGAACTAGGTTTTTCCAGTGCTTGAATTTTTAACCTAATTCCATGCCTCACCTGTTCGCAATGCACGGAAAAGTCACAACAGAAAACCGCTGGAAAAGTTTTGGATCAAATTTTGCAGGTACCTACATTAGATAAAATTACATCTGTAAAGAAGAAATCCAGAGCTTTAGCGGAGGTTCTGAATTTCCCATCTAACATCGTCAACGTACGAAACAAAACGACAAAACAACTGAGTCAGTGAAAAGTGAAGCAAATGCGAAAAGAAAAGCCAAAGAAAGAACCACAACCAAAAAGACTACCAAACGAAATATTAAAATCAAGCAACTCAGAAAACGAAAACGAAACCGAATCTGACTCATCGCTAGATATCCACTTGCAAGATGATGACGACGACGTGGACGATTTAGATAGTTGTTGCGTAGGGTGTGGTGAACAGTACAGTTGCACTAAAACGGACGTGGATTAGATCAAACGTATTAGCTGCCACCGATGGCTGCACGAAGACTGTTCAGAATAAGAATCCACGTGTGATATATGTGATAAAAAGCAAAAAATGTAAACTCACCAATTCACCCAATATGCATCCACCATTTCACCCATATGCCTGGGTGAAATGGCGAATTTATTAAAAATAATTAGTGTGATTTTTTTTCTACCTTAGTAATGCGTTAAAGAGGATATTATACTGTTAAGATGTTGCCAACATATTTTGTGGAAAATAGGTGACTTTATTTTGTTTAAATAAACATTTTCTTGTATTCAACACGGCTCAATTTTTTTGTTCACCATATGACCCTGACTTACCCTATTATCTAAAAAAAATAATAAACAAAATGCAGCGGTTAATATGGAAATAATCACAGTTAGTGGAAAACGGACAAGGTTAACGAACAAAGTCCAGCTTTGTAATAACTTTTACGACTCTTGGTCCTTGTACTATGCAAACAACATCAGCAAGATCAATGAAATTAATGTTCAACTTGCCAGCGCTAGAAATTATTCTGGAAGAAACTTCTCTGGCCAATAGTACATAAAAGGGTCTGCTGGAACCACAATACTGAGCCAATCGGATCCAGTTAAAAGAGAACTGAGGTTCAGACTAATCTCCAATTAAGAACGCAGCTCCCGATTCAACAACTACAAGTTTTGAATCTCGTTATGGATCTTCGGAAGCATGCGCATGGGGTAATACAAGCGCTGTATCTGTCTATATCGCCCAAAGACGTAGTTTTTGGTCTTGCAAGTACGCTGACCTAGAAGCAGAGATAGTGAAACGTAACCTACTCGATACCATTCATTTTTTCAATGTTTGTTGCCACCTGCTGATATTAGTTGAAATACTAAACGAGATGTAATTATAGAATGTCAAACGATATCGAATTTGAAGAATTTCCTGTACCTGTGGCAGATATAAATCGCAAGGTTATTGATAGTTAATGAAAGCACAACAATTCCCCGATATTTTCACATTTTAATTATTCGATACGTAAAACATTTGACGTTTGAATTGATAAAGTATATTATTATGTTTGTATGGAAGAGAATTTATATTCAATGACACAGTTGCTATCTAGGTATATTCTGAATCACGTAGCAAAGTATTACACTGGTCTGCAAAAATATTTTTCTCTTTTTTGCCAGCATGCTTGATACTAAATAAATATGGTTTCAAGAAAATCACGTTAATTTTTTGTAACACGGTTTATAAACAAAACGTTCTTTTTGCCTTAAATTTAAATCGTAAAGACACATGGGAACATTAGATACTATTCATTTCAAAAAATATTGAAACTATTTTACAGCTTGTTAGTAGTATTTCACGTTGTATTTGTTTTTATTTGTACGTCCTACATCAGTGGCGAGGAAGTATTGTAATCGCGAAAATATCCTAAATGAGATGTGTTTTGGATATTATATGCCATGCATATACATCACAAAACTCATTTCCGTCGGTGCGTTTGTCTGTCGGACAGTCTGTCCACTAATCCTTGGCCAATCTGTAACTTGAAAATTACAGCTTGAATTTTGACGAAACTTTGACATGATGTTATTATTATGCCAATGGAGTGAAAAAAGCTTTGAAGTTGTTGAAAATCAGTCAAGTGGCTATATATCTAACGACAAAAAAATAAAAATCGCTCAAACTTCGTCTTTTGAGGCTTCAGAGACCCGTGGTCATTTCCAGAAAAAAATTCTATGGACTAAAAACATACGGTTTATGGCTGAAGGAGGTGGATTATTTAACGTTCGAGTGATGGGGAAGTATTTTCTGCAGTTGCGAATCTGGATATAACACGTGCGTCGCGGTCCGGCCGATAAGTATGAGTTTCGCAGTCGCCACTCGCTGCCGTACTGCTATAGATCTTTAACTATTATCCACGCAAGATCAGTCATAGCAACGTTCATGAACGCCCACCGAAGTTTCCAAAGAAGGAAGGAGGAGGAAATTCATTGGCAAGAGACATTTTTGCGTGGAAGCGTACCTGCCTACAAAACATTTTGAAGAGCGGGGGCAACATATTTTTTCAGGGTAGGGCAAATCCTAAAAAGCCCCAAAATTGTACACAAAAGAGTTCTAAATATGGAAATTCCAATAAATTGTATGACCCTGTTTGGCAGATGCATTCGATTCTTTGTTATACTTGTTTGTAACTTTTTACGGGCGAAGTGCAGACTCAACTTAATTGACGTCATTTTTTTGCCGCGAATCATGTTATCCAAAAGTTTGCGGGAGGGAAATCAATATGAGAGTCCAGAAAATTTTAAGTAACTATAAAACTTTGAAAATTCCTTTACCAGTATTAGGAATGGAACTCGGTACCTTCAAAATAGAAAGCAGCGATTCTGTTATTGCACCACAGAGGCTGACAGTCGCTAGCATCCAGAACCGGTAATCAACCACGTGTTTTTCTGTGTTCTGACGATCCTCTCCATTGCTAACCAGTGAAACACGTACACTCTGGGTAGACACAGTCAGGGACTATCATTTAGTGTATTCTCAATTTATCACCAGAAACTGCTGAAGTTAGAGTGTTTTACGGTTTTTACAAAAATATTGTCATTTGTACTTGTCTATAAAATATAAATATTATTTAAATGATACAACGTATACATAAAAAGTGTTTTGTACCTTCAAGGAAGTATATTTTGCACTCCTCATACTGTTATTATTATCTTCATTTCCTTTCAAAAGACTGTTAAATCATGTCTAGAAAATGTGCTTGAAAAAATTGAACTTTGTAAACATTTTCTTTTCTAATAAATGGGAAATTAAAACCGACAAGGGTGTTTCAATATGCAGATTTTGGAAAGCTGTATGCCCTAAAATAGGACTTGACCTCAAAACAAAAACATAATTTTTAATAATCACGGGGTCTGATAAATAGCTCAAAAAACTATTTTATTAATCGGAGGGATTGAAAATCACGCATGGTTTAATGACAGCTTTAAGGAAACTCGCTTTCTCTCGAGGACGAAGGTAGATTATAAAAATGTCGAAGATGTTGTAGCTTATATCAAGCTACAAAATTGTCTTGGAAACAGTTTTCTATATACAATATTTAAACGACTAACAAAAAAATCAAAAAGTTTTTCAGAAAATATTCAGTGCCTACAGTGAGATCTAGAACTCTTCGTTAGGCTAAAGGACAATATTTTAAAAACCGAACCTTTTGTTTGGTCTAAACCTCTAAACTGTTCATTTATTTATGACCTACAGGATCTGCAACAATCATAACTAAACTATAATTTTCAAAATAACCAGGGTTAAAGGGCTCCCTCCCGCTCTTGGGATATATGATAATCCTTGGTGTTCATGTACTCGTATGTAAGATGCGGATAGTTAACCTTCTAACACTTCATTTTTTTTAACTCCCATTGCAAAACGAAGCTTAACATGTGTATATGTCCGGGGTGGCATCATGGCTCCCCAACGGATGAACCGTTTTAAGTGCGTGTTTTTTATCAAAAGTCTTGTCTGTCAAGATTGTTCTTAGCTGTTTGATGAAAATCGGTGCAGCTGAGCAGTTTAAAAGTCATGGGGATGAACGTGATGTAAGCAACCCAAAGTGGACGAATATGCCTGAATGGGGTATATGATGTGATATATTTTTATGTAGGAAGGCACTACTATTTCATCTGTTTTGGGTAACTCAAACTTATTGCCACCTTGTCTGTGACTAAAATGGAACAACAAGCATATTGTTAAATGCTGTTTGAATTTCTTAGACAAAGGTGACTTCTGATATGAATAAATTTCTCATAAAATAGCCCACAAAGGTAGCTTTCATGATAAAGTAGGTAGTTTTAGATCGGATAATTAAACAGGTTGCTCCAGTTATTCCATCTCGACTGTATTACCAACACAACTCAATAATTTATTGTTTTCGTGTCGATTCCAAAGATATATCCATATAGCGCTCCAATTGACGCTCAGAGACTTTCTCTTCCATTAGGCCCGCTTTTAAATGGACCTGCTTACGCGAAGTGCATTGCTTTAGGGCTGACAGGCATTATAAAGTATCTATTTAATATGATTAGATTACCTATTACCTAATAGGACGTTAGCAGGCACGGAACGGCATGATGAATTATTGTTTATGGGCACCCACTGATCTTTGATGCAACAAATTATATGTACGTATATGGGAAGAGAAAGAGGTGTGGTCATGCAGACAAGTTAGTTTGGCAGAACTACTGACACATAAATATGTAGGGAAATATTAATGTGTAATATATTTTGTAGGTTCGCCCATAAGGTCCTCCATAATTTATTTTTTGAAGAGGTTAAGTCAACAAGCTGAAATTCTGGGTGGTGAATTTGTGGATACTATAAGTTTGGCGTCAAAATGGCAGCTGAGCGCCATCTTGAAGTATTTTTAAGTAAATGAATGGTCCTGTAATAACTTGAATCTCTCTATGCATATTTCATAGCCCTAGAATACATCTAATCATCAAAACACTGTGGTATGTTATTTATTTATATTATTTTATATATATTATTATATCGGTCCTCTTCCTTCGCCTCTCTAAATATGCAATACAGCATGGGGCATTCCGTTTAAGAACTATACAGCTTTTGAAAACTTCTTTTAAATGGAATGCTCCATATTTTATTAAATATTTGAATAGGTCCCTTCAAGAGGAGAAGATTCATATAATATCCTATAGGGTTTTGATTATTGATTGTTGGGTTATAGGCGATTCAATGCGATTAACTTTGACAGTCTGTATGTCATTTTTATAGGTAGGGAATCCATCTTCGACGATTACAAAGTACTTGTGAGGATTTTTGAACTGAGTTAACACATGGCCCCTAATTCCATTTAGAAAAATTATCCAAGATGGAGTTCCGCCTTTAAACTTGACCCGTTCAAAAAATAAGTAGACCCCAAAAGTATAGTATAAAATTTGAAATGTTAAATCAGAAAAAAAAAGCACGCGATTTTCCTCATTGCAGCTTACAGGGCTTATTTCCTTTGATTTCGGGATTTCTGAAAACCATGTCCTGTTGACAATTCTGAATATTGTTTATTTCTAATGTCATCAGAATAGATAACGAAAAACTGTAAGTACAGTTCCACCATTTTTACTTTTGAACTTATTTTCAGTACGGTGTCAGCGCTGCATTTTCTGGAAACTACAAGCAAATCTTTTTGAAACGTGTTAGTTTTGTATAGAGAATCTAAAGAAATTCTAAAATGTCAGTCAGTTTATGCAGCTTTAGTATACTTTTTCGGAATTACGGATACGATGACTTGCATTCCTTAAAGTGTCGATATATTGAGAAAAGCCATAGTAGATTGAAAGCTCGTTTTAAAGGTATGTACGGTACAGTGTTTTATGCATTCTCTCTTAATGAAGTCAAAGTAGCCATATAGACTTGGTATGATGCTACATTTGCGAAATGTATCGCTACCACCCCCAGTATAGATAGTTGATAGTTACCATGTAAAGCTGTATATAGATCTAGTGTTAAAAGATGGAAAGTTAATCAAATTAGGTAAATACCAGAAATACCGAAAAAGCAAACAATTACCCAGAATGCATGTGCGGCATAGTTCGTGCAAAAAAATCCAGTCACGAACTGAGAATCGAGTCTGGAATTGAATGTTAACAGCAGGTCTGCCATTTAAATAAGTGCACTCAGTATCCGCATTGTGGTATATCTTGTTGTATAACAGTTACACGATGTTTGCCACACATACTACTAAATTTCATGCTTTTTGAATAGACAATGTGTTTTTCAGTTCCAAAATCTGCATACTTGATGTCATTTTTTCACCGCTTGTACAGTCGACTGACTTAAGCTGTATTTGTAAATTAGTTTATACGTTCTTGGACGTGATTTGCTAGTAAGATGAAAAACATGTTTGTCTTGTCACGAAATAGTTTTCCGGTTCCACAATATCAATACGAGTTTTCCATAGGAGTCGTTCTTAGCTCCAATAATGTCTGCAACAGATTAATGCAATTCACACAGTTTTGCGGATGACATCACTTTACATTTGGTCGTTTAAGGTGCTAGGCCGATTTCTACGGACAAGTGATCGCCTCCACTTCGTCTCTGATGAGGGATCTAATGCTTATAAAGCTCAGTACTGTGAATTAACTGGTAAGAGGTGCCCAAATGCATAGCTAATCTTGATGGATTGCCAAGGCTTAACAAAACCACACTATTTTTTTTTTTGTGAAAGTTACAGTTTTCTACCATTTAATGATGGAATTTGTTCTCTGATGCCCTTTTTCCTGACTTTGCCGCATTCTAGACCAACTGCATGGATTCGCCAGGCTTCTGGTTATCATTCTAGCTCGATTGAATTCTTTACAATAATAACTGTCCGGTATAATCATTCTGATATTTAGACTGCACAACAATTTGACAAAAGGGAAAAGTGGAAACTTATAGATAATGCTGGCTTCATCCCTCTACCCAGCCAAGGACCAACCCCATACAGGGTTATTTATGCTTGTTGGCAATCATCATCACGGTCTAGGTAGGACAACGAAAGAAAGCAGTATTCTCTATTAGAGGTATACATTCTATCGAAATACCACAGCACAATTGCCATCTATTTACCACAGCTCTCTTTCTAATTCTAGTAATAGACGTGCCGTCATAGCCTGATGAAAAACAGAAAAGTTAAGTGAGTACAATTTACTACTGTTACTACTTATAATCGAAAAGCTTCTGATCACAGTTGTTTTATTAATTTGCCCCTACAGGTAACGAAATCTAAAAGTTCGTATAGCTAAAAAAATCTATGAAAAATAGTTCAGTGGTAAACACAGAAGCAATTCATTAAGCTATAAGCATTGCGCAAAAAAATTTCATATTATCTAGAAGGGGTGCATATTCTATGTTCTGCAGTGAGTCATATTCATTTTCATATCAACGCATAGGCCGATAAGCCAAATATATCAGTAGTTCAAAAATTAATGTATATTTATTTTTCATAAAGAATATTCGTATGAAATCAACGCAGGGTTTTCGTGCAGCCCACCATTTGTGTTTTATCATATGAAGCTATATTTATGTATACTTTATCTGAAGTCACTTGAAATAGCACAAAAACCTTTGGTCGGCGCGTCCTTTGTAATTTCATGACGCATCATAGGTGTGCGGTCATTTATTTAGAACGATAATAATAATGTTTTTATATCACAATAAATGGATTTTACTATCTTCTTATTTTTTGATTTGGGATAAAAAATACTTATATTGGGAGATTAATTTATGTTGACTGAAAGTTAAGAAATGGAAAAATTACAGAATTCCAACGTTTGACATAGGCAAATATTTACATAGCAGGTAGGTATATAAAAAGGTATATAAAGACTTACATTATAGGTATTTATATATCATCCTCGCCTTCGGAGCTGTCGCTAAAGTCATCTTGTAGACCAATTACAACGGGATTTACAGGAGGCAAAACACAATATTCATTTTCTTTTTCAATAATATGCCTAGAACACTGCTTCCATAGGTCTGTGGCAGCAATATGAGATACTGCATCTCGAAAATGTTCCCCATATTAATAAATTTTCTTTCAGGCTTCTAGAGCCTCATGAAGTAGCTGGAATAATTTCTAGTTTCAAGTCCGATGCAAAAGGTACTGATGGGTTGAGCTTGTCTATGATTAAGCTCAGTCTGCCTGTTACTCTCATCTACATCACCCACCTTGTTAATAGTTGCCTCGAAAGAGGTTATTTCCCTGAAACGTGGAAGCGAGCAATTGTGGTACCAGTTCCAAAAAAATCAAATCCAGATGAGTTTGGTGATCTAAGGCCTATAAGCCTATTGCCTTGTTTATCGAAGGTAGTTGAAAAGGCAGCCCACATACAACTAATGCATTATGCAGAGGAACATATCATCCCATCTGATCAGTCTGCTTTTAGGAAATCTTTCAGTACTACTACTTCCCTCTTAAACTTAGTGGATAATATTATTAGAGCACTTGATAAAAAAATGGGCGTAGCAGTGATGTCAATCGATTATTCCAAGGCATTTGACAAAATAAATCATGAGTTGTTAATAGCAAAGTTGAAGTATTATGGCATAGATCCAATTGCATTGAACTTTTTTCGAAATTATATATCAAATCGATCGCAGTGTGTATCAATTGAAAACAATAAATCTAGTTTTCTAGAAATCTCGTCTGGAGTACCCCAGGGGTCTGTTTTGGGTCCCTTGTTGTTTTTGATATATATATTGCTGATCTGCCTAAGGCTGTGAGTTTTTGTGAACTCCAGTCTTTTGCTGATGATACTCAACTGGTCCATTATTTTGATACTGATGATATGAGTAGAATATGGGCTACTATGGACACCCCCCACCACTTCCACTTTGGCCACGCCCACCGCGTGCTCTGATTGGCGGATCAGACGGCGGGAAATTTGAACGGGGTTGATGGTATATGTTGATTGGCGGGAACCGCTAGATCCACCGCGTGCTCTGATTGGCGGATCAGACGGCGGGAAATTTGAACGGGGTTGATGGTATATGTTGATTGGCGGGCTAGATGCCGCACCCGACCGGAAGTGATTCAGACAGCCGACGATAGTAAGGTGTAGTATAACGTCTATGCGTAAGTGATGTGACTCATTTCATGTTTTGCGGTAAATATTTGCATATAGATCGATAAAAGCCGATGAATAACGGTAATTATAGATGCAATTCTGCGGATTCAGTTTAAATGGAAAAACGTATAAAATTCGCGGAGAACAATGCGTATAGGATGATCTCAATAGTCAACACGTCATATTCAGTGTGCATATAAAAATGGAATTGCTCATATGTGGTGCATACAGTTAGTTAATTTTTAACATTGATACAATATTGAAAACATAGTACAGTCTATATTGTGTATCTAATAGATTCCAACAAGGCAATCACCTACGTCGCAAATGAGGTTAGGTTCAGCGCCGGTGTAGTCGTAGCGGTGATATGCAAGAAGTACCGGGCGGGGCTGTCAAGCATGGGTGAATGGGCAGGGAGCGCAGGCTGTCAACGAGTTAATACCGGCCAGCGGTGACCTTGAAACACTGTGGTCAGTTAAAAAGTGGTGGGGGTAAAATTGAGATTATAAATACCTATGAATCACCGCAAATTATCTTGTCAGTTATCTACAGCGAACAGACGTGCTCAGTTCAGATTTAGTCGCTAGTTAACGTTTTAGTTTTTAAAAAAATGGAAAAATTCTTCGTCGTTAAGGATTCTATTAAGAAGATTAAAAAATTTAATCTATATGGGCGAGAAGTGGAATTTAAAATACGACCTATCCCTAAAGACGTCGAGCCTGTGGGATGGATCAAAGACGCTCTGGAGGAAATAGTAGCCAAAGGAACTGAACATCTCCAGCCCAGTGATCAAGTTGGATTCACTTTCTGTTCCAAAGACTTTACCCGCGGTCAAGGGTGGATAGCTTTTAAATCGTTTTCCGACGTTTCAAATGAGGACATATGGGAGAAGATATCTTCCATCTATCAGTCAAATTCTGTGGGGTTGAATACCGAAACTTTTTGCTTGGGAGTTACGTCCATAAGGTTGCCTGCTGGTCGTGGTAGAGGTCAGAATTTCAATACTTTTGATGAGGAATGCGCCAAAAGAAGAGGTATTATCACCGTTAAAAACACCGATAATTTGTGTCTCCCACGAGCCCTTGTCATCGCCATGGCCCATTTGAACAAAGACAAAGATTATAGCAGAATCCGCCTCGATCGAGGAAAAATACAAGGACAAAGAGCTGTACAACTTGTGGAAAAGGCTGATATTGTTATCCCTGAGGAGGGGTGTGGAATACCTGAACTTCAAAAGCTACAACGATATCTGCAAAACTACAAAATTGTTGTATACAAGTTTGGGTGCAAAGGTCGTGACGTCATTTTTGAAGGCGTGTCCACTGGTCCGACGCTTAACCTAATCTATCACGAGGGGCACTACAGCGTCATAACATCCCTCACTGCTGCTTTTTGCTGCAGCTATTTTTGTGAGAACTGCCACATTCCGTATAATAATAAACAAATTCATAGATGTGATAAACAATGTTATGCTTGTAAAAGATCTCCGGCCTGCCTGAAAACGAAGCACATCGAATGCAAAGAATGTAATAGAAGCTTTTATGGACAAGAATGTTTTAACGCTCATTTACCATCGGTCTGTTCTAAAATTAAAAGATGTGTAGACTGTTTTAAAGTTCACAACGGTAATGATCACATCTGCGGACATATACTTTGTAAAACATGTTATAAAAATCAACCAATTGAACATATGTGCTATATACAGCCTGACAGAAGAATTCCAAAATCAAATGATGTCTTATTAATATTTTACGATTTGGAAACCCGTCAGGAGAAGGAATTACCCAACGGATCTTTACTTCATGAGCCAAATCTATGTGTATTCAAACAATGTTGTGAATCATGTACCGATAATCCTATATGCAAGAAATGTGGCCTTCGATTACAGATTCTTCGATGTCAAGACGTCATTTCTCCATTTATGCATCATATTCTGACACTTCGTAAAAAATTCAAGAAAGTCATTGTACTGGCGCATAATGGTGGAGGATTTGATCATCAGTTTCTACTTCGTTACATTTTAGAGAAGACTAGTCTGTACCCAAATGTAATTATGAGAGGAACAAAATTAATATTGATGGAGGTAGGAAATGTAAAATTTCTGGATTCTCTCAATTATTTTCCTATGCCTCTAACTGCTCTACCCAAGGCGTTTGATTTGAAAGAGCTAAAGAAAGGATACTTTCCACATCTATTCAACACTTTGGCTCATCAGAATTATCTAGGGCCAATTCCAGCGCTCGACTTCTACGATCCCGACCATTTAAAAGAAGACACTCGGGAAAAATTATTAAAATGGCATGGCGAAAGAGAAGCGGAGGGATACGTTTTTGATTTTCAGAAAGAAATCGTTGAATACTGTATCTCCGATGTGGAAATATTGACACAGGCGTGTCTCAAATTTCGAGACCTGATGAAAACCGAAACCACAGTCGATCCCTTCCAGGAAAGCACCACTATTGCATCATGCTGTAACAAAGTCTTTAGACGCAATTTTTTAAAACCTGAGACGATCGGGGTAATTCCAAAAGGGGGCTATAGATGGCGTGAAAATCAGTCAAAAATTGCCATCCAATGGATGTTGTGGGAGGAACATCAAAGAGGAATCAAAATTCAACACGCCGCTAAGGGTATAGAAACCATTGTTAAGGGACATAAAGTAGACGGTTTTTGTAGCGACACAAATCAAGTGTTTGAATTCCAAGGATGCTATTTTCACGGTTGCCCTCGATGTTTCAAATACAACAGAAGCAATCCTCTGCATAATGATCCGTTGAATACATTGGAAAGTCGATACGAACAATCAGTTAGCAAAGTAGAGAGACTCCGAAGCCTTGGACTAGAAGTAATTGAGATATGGGAATGTCAATTTCGAGGAATGCTAAACGATGAAATTAGAGCCTTCACAGAAGCACATCCATTGATAATCAATTTACCGATTAACCCCAGAGACGCTCTCTACGGGGGACGTACAGAAAATATCGTTGAATACTACAAGATCAAAACAAATGAATGCATAAAATATGTCGATATATGTTCCCTGTACCCCTTCATCTGTAAATATGGAAAATTTCCGGTGGGTCATCCAAAAAAAATTTACGTAGGTGAAGAATGTGTTACAGCCTCTCTGTCGCAGATGTCAGGACTTATTAAATGCCAGATTCTACCGAACCAGAACTTATATCACCCCGTTTTACCGTCAAAAATGAACAACAAATTGATGTTTGTTAACTGTCAAAAATGTGGTGAAGATTTCGTTCGAGAAGAGTGTCAGCATTCTATTCAAGAAAGAAGCCTAAAAGGAACTTGGGTGATAGAAGAGGTGCTCAAAGCTATTGAAAAAGGTTACCAGATTATAGAGACTTACGAAATATGGGAATACGATACAATTCAGCTCAGTAAAGACCAAGAGGGGTTATTTAGCGGAATGATGAACAAGTTTCTACAAATAAAACAACAAGCTTCAGGATGGCCCAAACATTGCTTAACGGATGAAGAAAAAAACCGTTATATTGATGCATTTTTGGATACAGAGGACATAAAGCTGGAATTTTCAAAAATTATAGAGAACCCCTGTTTGAGATCGTTAGCTAAACTTATGCTGAATTCTTTTTGGGGTAAATTTGCTCAAAAAGAAAACCAAAACAAAACCTCAATAGTCAGAGACTGTGGTGAATTCTTTGATATGCTGACTAATCCTTCTATTCATGTAAATACAGTTCTCCCGGTAAACGAAGAAACCCTTCTCGTAACTTGGGAATTTAGAGAAGAGGCGTATGACGTTTCTTCAACGGTTAACGTTGTATTGGCTTCATACGTCACGGCCCTAGCTAGACTAAAATTATATTCATTCTTGGAGAAAGTGGAAGAAAGGGCAGTTTACGTAGATACAGATTCATGTATTTATATCTCTCGTAAGGGATTAGACGACATATCTACAGGCGACTTCATAGGTGATATGACCGATGAGCTCAATGGGGGTTTCATATCAGAGTTTGTTTCTGGAGGACCTAAGAACTACGCCTACAAATATACTACTTTGTCTGGAGAGGAACAGATCGTATGTAAAGTAAAAGGCATATCACTCAACTACAAGGCATCCCAAGTGGTCAATTTTGAGAAAATAAAAGACATGGTGCTGAAGAAATCTGATCCTGTTTCTGTACTTTCTCGACAGCTACGACGTACAAGAGAGCATGCAGTAGTAACAGTCGAGTTTCCTAAGCTATACAAGATAACTTCAATGAAAAGGAAATTCTATGAAGATCATACCTCTGTACCATTTGGATTTAAGAAAATAAAATATTGATTTATTAATGTATGTAAATATTTTTTAATAAACATGTAAAATAAAATGTATGCAAATGATTTTTTGTTTTTTATTTCCCGCCTAATTGAAAAATATTTTTGCACCCGAAATTGTTCAGCCTTTTTACTCCATATAAAAATATTTAAAAGTATGCATTGTTATTATTAAACGCCTGCAGTAATATACACCAAAAAAATTGAGAAGCAGTGTAACCATGTAGAACTTTGTATAATCACAAAAAAACATATCTTGGAAAATAAAAAATACAGCAGATTCATAAGCAGTGTAGAGAGGAAACTACGTAAAAGTAATCGATTATTACTAATAAAATAGAGTTTTGAATTCCTATTTTTACAATAATAATCATTTTACTATCTTACGTGTTGGGCACTGCACTGCACGGGTACCAACACTGTACTGCACGGGCACGAAAAATTGAGAAGCATGATAACCATGTAGAACTTCGTATCACTACGTAAATGGTTATTACGAAAAGTAGAAATAAAAACTCTATTTTCGATAATAGCTATACTATTTTTTATGAGCACCGAAAAAATTGAGAAGCACGATAACCTCATAGAACTTCGAAACAGCACCAGAGACAACCGAAGGCTACAGAAAAAAAACACATACTGAAAAGGCATAACATCTATCAGCGCTGGTATCCGATAATACTGTTTCCTTTGACATTCGTTGGGATATGAAAACACATATTTGCTTCCCACCGTTATAACGGAAATAATAGTTACTGCAAAAGCAGTTTCACAATAAGACCATACATTAATCTACAAAGTTGATAATAAAACATATGTACTATTAAAATGCAGATATTTTTAAAATTATACAATTAAAAAATCAAAATAATATATTATAAATGGTAGGGGATACAGGGTAAACACCGAAATATACTTAATTTAGAATAGTTACCTATAATCTCCTCAGTTCTTTGGTCAGCCGTATCGACAATTTACCGGTGGGTCCTCTATTTTTGTGCATGTAAAAGGTTAGACTATGGCGCTAGCAAAAAAAAAACAAAATGCAACAAAGTAGAGTCACTTAATATTCTTGTTGAAGTTACGGATAGAATATGGTAGAAAGTAACAATCAGATATTGTAGAAGCCATGTAATTGTTTAATTGTTGAGGAAAAAGTATTTTTCATACGCTGACCATGTTTATGTCCGCTTGGTACGCGACCAGATTTTTTCCAAACCTTTGCCCGTAGGGTTCATGAGCCGACGACCAAATGTGTCGTCGAAGGGGCATTTTTGGCCAAATTCGGTCGAAACCGATGCTGCGTTCGTACCCTAGAGCCTACGAACAGCGACTCAAACTTAATTTTAATTGATTTGCAAAGATCTTGCTAGAATACTTGAGCTAGTGATTATATGCAATTTATCGGTGACGAGCTTTCCTCTAGCATATCTTGATTTATTCAAGCGAATCAATGAGAAACTAGTGAATAAAATTACCTAACAGCCATAGTACAAGTTGGTATATCTACACCTTCTCTTACATTTGGCGCCACTAAAATGTTAATCTCCTTGTTTCTAAAAAACGATCAAGTACTTATCTGTTCTTCTTATTAATCGGAAGTGATTCTACGGTGCTATTAAAAGAGTTTCCGTTATATCCCACAACGAAATCCGGCTTTATATGTCTGAACTCTGGTACATGTTCACTCAAATCTTTCAGTACATGGTGCAATATTTTTGGCAGTTGATCTTTCCTTCGTGAATATTAAACCACAAATGTCTTCGTTTGAAGATGAACTGTTGAAAAGTGTTACGTTTATATTAGTATTAATATTTATGACATTTACTTTTTTTAAAATAGTTAAATACTACGATAAACTGGGAATGTGGGATGAAGCAGAAATGTTTCTGTAACCCAATTTAGGTATGTATAGCAAGTCTTACGCAAGACAATAATAAAAACAGATAGAATTTGAGGGCGATTCTTGGAAGAAAAATTCATAGTATTTCTAAGGCAACACCGACCGGAGTGCTATAATTTTAGCATACATTTACAGGTTATAGGTCTAATGATAAATAGAAAGTGATTAAAATTTTAACTTCAATTTTCGTAAAATAGCTGAGATATGCCATCTTGCAGTAGCCTGGAATGAAATACCCGACAGGTTACCCATCACCTGATAGTCTGTGGTTCTCGCCGCTAGATGACGCTACATACAAACGTCATCTGTCAAACGTTATGTGTATCATTGATAAGTGTGAGTTGTGTCTCTAAGCGCTAGATGGTGTCGATGTCGCACTGGTGTCGTAGAGTGACCCACATACAGGGGTCGATAGAAATTTTTGGGGCCCTACCGACGGGTCGATGAACCGACGGTATAACGTCAGATCGAAATAAGCTCCATTCACATGGGAGGTGTGTGTGGAACTGCTCGTGGGAGACACGGACCTTGTCGTATCTAGCAAGACGTGTCCTAAAATGGTGATACCCATTGGTCGCTCAGCCATACAGGTCGGTCAGACAGAAGTTTTTGGGACCCGGGTGCTCTGATTGGTGGATCAGACGGCGGGAAATTTGAACGGTGTTGATGGTATAGTTGAATGGTGGACGGCGGGGTTGGGTGCGTTGGTAATCACCTATGTCGCAAATGAGGTTAGGTAGATAGTCGTTCAGTGAAGGTGTTGTCGTAGTGGTGATATGCAAGAAGTACTGCGCGCGGGGGTGTCAACGAGTTAATATTGGCCAACGATAACAGCGGTGACCGTGGAACACTGTTGTCACACGGTTGCAAAAGATGATAGGTTATCTCTTAATTTTCGTAAACAACGATTTTTCTAAAGTGGTAAAAACAGGTCGAAATTTTAAATACCTATGAATCACCGCAAATTATCTTGTCAGTTATCTGCTGCGAACAAAACATGCTCAGCTCAGACTTATCTAAAAAGTGGTGGGAAAATCGATATTATAAAAATATTTATGAATCACCGCAAATTCTCTTAGACGTGCTCTTATCAGTTCAGACTTAGTTAAAACTGGTGGGTAAAATCGAGATTATAAATACCTATGAATCACCGCAAATTACCTTGTCAGTTATCTGCAGTGAACAGACGTGCTCAGTTCAGACTTAGCAATTCCCAACGCTCCTCCGTGGCCATTCCCCTTACCCTCTCGCGAGTGCGCGCATGCGCATGCGGCTCGTTCTGGTCTATAGACATATGATCGCTAATGATCTTGAACAAAGATGTCCTGATACCCGAACCGCCAGAGGTACATCAGAAGTAATGTTAGTATTGTGTGTGCGCGTTTTTTGAACACGCTAAGTCGTGATGTACATCACGTGAGGTACGTCACGTGACGTACGTGACGTGCGTGTGACAGGTGACGTGCGTCACGTGACACGTAACGCACGTGGCACGTGACGTGCGTCACGTGACACTTGACGCACGTGGCGTACGTCACGTGACACGTGACGTGCACACTTTGTTCAAAAATACCAAAAAGCTGTCTTGATAGCCCGAACCGCCAGAGGTACAACATCAGAAGTAATGTTAGTGCGTGGTTGAGGTTCAAAAACTTAGCGTGTTCAAAAAAAAAACGTACCTAGACCAAAAGTCATTCTAGACCAGTCACTCTAGACCAAAGCACAAAAAAAACGCCGTTTTTCAACGCCTTTTTTGTCACCATTCCCCTTAGTAGCGCGCATGCGCATGGGGCTCGTTCTGCTGGTGCTGGCGCGGGCGTACATAGCGTTTGTGGTAAGGGTTTGGGGTAGGTCTTGTTCTCTTATCGCGCACGAGTAAGTTTGTTTGTTGTGTACCATGGGATAGTGGTAAGAGAACAAGACCTACCCCAAACCCTTACCACAAACGCTATGTACGCCCGCGCCAGCACCAGCAGAACGAGCCCCATGCGCAAGCGCGCTACTAAGGGGAATGGTGACAAAAAAGGCGTTGAAAAACGGCGTTTTTTTTGTGCTTTGGTCTAGAGTGACTGGTCTAGAATGACTTTTGGTCTAGGTACGTTTTTTTTTTTTGAACACGCTAAGTTTTTGAACCTCAACCACGCACTAACATTACTTCTGATGTTGTACCTCTGGCGGTTCGGGCTATCAAGACAGCTTTTTGGTATTTTTGAACAAAGTGTGCACGTCACGTGTCACGTGACGTACGCCACGTGCGTCAAGTGTCACGTGACGCACGTCACGTGCCACGTGCGTTACGTGTCACGTGACGCACGTCACCTGTCACACGCACGTCACGTACGTCACGTGACGTACCTCACGTGATGTACATCGCGACTTAGCGTGTTCAAAAAACGCGCACACACAATACTAACATTACTTCTGATGTACCTCTGGCGGTTCGGGTATCAGGACATCTTTGTTCAAGATCATTAGCGATCATATGTCTATAGACCAGAACGAGCCGCATGCGCATGCGCGCACTCGCGAGAGGGTAAGGGGAATGGCCACGGAGGAGCGTTGGGAATTGCTAAGTCTGAACTGAGCACGTCTGTTCACTGCAGATAACTGACAAGGTAATTTGCGGTGATTCATAGGTATTTATAATCTCGATTTTACCCACCAGTTTTAACTAAGTCTGAACTGATAAGAGCACGTCTAAGAGAATTTGCGGTGATTCATAAATATTTTTATAATATCGATTTTCCCACCACTTTTTAGATAAGTCTGAGCTGAGCATGTTTTGTTCGCAGCAGATAACTGACAAGATAATTTGCGGTGATTCATAGGTATTTAAAATTTCGACCTGTTTTTACCACTTTAGAAAAATCGTTGTTTACGAAAATTAAGAGATAACCTATCATCTTTTGCAACCGTGTGACAACAGTGTTCCACGGTCACCGCTGTTATCGTTGGCCAATATTAACTCGTTGACACCCCCGCGCGCAGTACTTCTTGCATATCACCACTACGACAACACCTTCACTGAACGACTATCTACCTAACCTCATTTGCGACATAGGTGATTACCAACGCACCCAACCCCGCCGTCCACCATTCAACTATACCATCAACACCGTTCAAATTTCCCGCCGTCTGATCCACCAATCAGAGCACCCGGGTCCCAAAAACTTCTGTCTGACCGACCTGTATGGCTGAGCGACCAATGGGTATCACCATTTTAGGACACGTCTTGCTAGATACGACAAGGTCCGTGTCTCCCACGAGCAGTTCCACACACACCTCCCATGTGAATGGAGCTTATTTCGATCTGACGTTATACCGTCGGTTCATCGACCCGTCGGTAGGGCCCCAAAAATTTCTATCGACCCCTGTATGTGGGTCACTCTACGACACCAGTGCGACATCGACACCATCTAGCGCTTAGAGACACAACTCACACTTATCAATGATACACATAACGTTTGACAGATGACGTTTGTATGTAGCGTCATCTAGCGGCGAGAACCACAGACTATCAGGTGATGGGTAACCTGTCGGGTATTTCATTCCAGGCTACTGCAAGATGGCATATCTCAGCTATTTTACGAAAATTGAAGTTAAAATTTTAATCACTTTCTATTTATCATTAGACCTATAACCTGTAAATGTATGCTAAAATTATAGCACTCCGGTCGGTGTTGCCTTAGAAATACTATGAATTTTTCTTCCAAGAATCGCCCTCAAATTCTATCTGTTTTTATTATTGTCTTGCGTAAGACTTGCTATACATACCTAAATTGGGTTACAGAAACATTTCTGCTTCATCCCACATTCCCAGTTTATCGTAGTATTTAACTATTTTAAAAAAAGTAAATGTCATAAATATTAATACTAATATAAACGTAACACTTTTCAACAGTTCATCTTCAAACGAAGACATTTGTGGTTTAATATTCACGAAGGAAAGATCAACTGCCAAAAATATTGCACCATGTACTGAAAGATTTGAGTGAACATGTACCAGAGTTCAGACATATAAAGCCGGATTTCGTTGTGGGATATAACGGAAACTCTTTTAATAGCACCGTAGAATCACTTCCGATTAATAAGAAGAACAGATAAGTACTTGATCGTTTTTTAGAAACAAGGAGATTAACATTTTAGTGGCGCCAAATGTAAGAGAAGGTGTAGATATACCAACTTGTACTATGGCTGTTAGGTAATTTTATTCACTAGTTTCTCATTGATTCGCTTGAATAAATCAAGATATGCTAGAGGAAAGCTCGTCACCGATAAATTGCATATAATCACTAGCTCAAGTATTCTAGCAAGATCTTTGCAAATCAATTAAAATTAAGTTTGAGTCGCTGTTCGTAGGCTCTAGGGTACGAACGCAGCATCGGTTTCGACCGAATTTGGCCAAAAATGCCCCTTCGACGACACATTTGGTCGTCGGCTCATGAACCCTACGGGCAAAGGTTTGGAAAAAATCTGGTCGCGTACCAAGCGGACATAAACATGGTCAGCGTATGAAAAATACTTTTTCCTCAACAATTAAACAATTACATGGCTTCTACAATATCTGATTGTTACTTTCTACCATATTCTATCCGTAACTTCAACAAGAATATTAAGTGACTCTACTTTGTTGCATTTTGTTTTTTTTTTGCTAGCGCCATAGTCTAACCTTTTACATGCACAAAAATAGAGGACCCACCGGTAAATTGTCGATACGGCTGACCAAAGAACTGAGGAGATTATAGGTAACTATTCTAAATTAAGTATATTTCGGTGTTTACCCTGTATCCCCTACCATTTATAATATATTATTTTGATTTTTTAATTGTATAATTTTAAAAATATCTGCATTTTAATAGTACATATGTTTTATTATCAACTTTGTAGATTAATGTATGGTCTTATTGTGAAACTGCTTTTGCAGTAACTATTATTTCCGTTATAACGGTGGGAAGCAAATATGTGTTTTCATATCCCAACGAATGTCAAAGGAAACAGTATTATCGGATACCAGCGCTGATAGATGTTATGCCTTTTCAGTATGTGTTTTTTTCTGTAGCCTTCGGTTGTCTCTGGTGCTGTTTCGAAGTTCTATGAGGTTATCGTGCTTCTCAATTTTTTCGGTGCTCATAAAAAATAGTATAGCTATTATCGAAAATAGAGTTTTTATTTCTACTTTTCGTAATAACCATTTACGTAGTGATACGAAGTTCTACATGGTTATCATGCTTCTCAATTTTTCGTGCCCGTGCAGTACAGTGTTGGTACCCGTGCAGTGCAGTGCCCAACACGTAAGATAGTAAAATGATTATTATTGTAAAAATAGGAATTCAAAACTCTATTTTATTAGTAATAATCGATTACTTTTACGTAGTTTCCTCTCTACACTGCTTATGAATCTGCTGTATTTTTTATTTTCCAAGATATGTTTTTTTGTGATTATACAAAGTTCTACATGGTTACACTGCTTCTCAATTTTTTTGGTGTATATTACTGCAGGCGTTTAATAATAACAATGCATACTTTTAAATATTTTTATATGGAGTAAAAAGGCTGAACAATTTCGGGTGCAAAAATATTTTTCAATTAGGCGGGAAATAAAAAACAAAAAATCATTTGCATACATTTTATTTTACATGTTTATTAAAAATATTTACATACATTAATAAATCAATATTTTATTTTCTTAAATCCAAATGGTACAGAGGTATGATCTTCATAGAATTTCCTTTTCATTGAAGTTATCTTGTATAGCTTAGGAAACTCGACTGTTACTACTGCATGCTCTCTTGTACGTCGTAGCTGTCGAGAAAGTACAGAAACAGGATCAGATTTCTTCAGCACCATGTCTTTTATTTTCTCAAAATTGACCACTTGGGATGCCTTGTAGTTGAGTGATATGCCTTTTACTTTACATACGATCTGTTCCTCTCCAGACAAAGTAGTATATTTGTAGGCGTAGTTCTTAGGTCCTCCAGAAACAAACTCTGATATGAAACCCCCATTGAGCTCATCGGTCATATCACCTATGAAGTCGCCTGTAGATATGTCGTCTAATCCCTTACGAGAGATATAAATACATGAATCTGTATCTACGTAAACTGCCCTTTCTTCCACTTTCTCCAAGAATGAATATAATTTTAGTCTAGCTAGGGCCGTGACGTATGAAGCCAATACAACGTTAACCGTTGAAGAAACGTCATACGCCTCTTCTCTAAATTCCCAAGTTACGAGAAGGGTTTCTTCGTTTACCGGGAGAACTGTATTTACATGAATAGAAGGATTAGTCAGCATATCAAAGAATTCACCACAGTCTCTGACTATTGAGGTTTTGTTTTGGTTTTCTTTTTGAGCAAATTTACCCCAAAAAGAATTCAGCATAAGTTTAGCTAACGATCTCAAACAGGGGTTCTCTATAATTTTTGAAAATTCCAGCTTTATGTCCTCTGTATCCAAAAATGCATCAATATAACGGTTTTTTTCTTCATCCGTTAAGCAATGTTTGGGCCATCCTGAAGCTTGTTGTTTTATTTGTAGAAACTTGTTCATCATTCCGCTAAATAACCCCTCTTGGTCTTTACTGAGCTGAATTGTATCGTATTCCCATATTTCGTAAGTCTCTATAATCTGGTAACCTTTTTCAATAGCTTTGAGCACCTCTTCTATCACCCAAGTTCCTTTTAGGCTTCTTTCTTGAATAGAATGCTGACACTCTTCTCGAACGAAATCTTCACCACATTTTTGACAGTTAACAAACATCAATTTGTTGTTCATTTTTGACGGTAAAACGGGGTGATATAAGTTCTGGTTCGGTAGAATCTGGCATTTAATAAGTCCTGACATCTGCGACAGAGAGGCTGTAACACATTCTTCACCTACGTAAATTTTTTTTGGATGACCCACCGGAAATTTTCCATATTTACAGATGAAGGGGTACAGGGAACATATATCGACATATTTTATGCATTCATTTGTTTTGATCTTGTAGTATTCAACGATATTTTCTGTACGTCCCCCGTAGAGAGCGTCTCTGGGGTTAATCGGTAAATTGATTATCAATGGATGTGCTTCTGTGAAGGCTCTAATTTCATCGTTTAGCATTCCTCGAAATTGACATTCCCATATCTCAATTACTTCTAGTCCAAGGCTTCGGAGTCTCTCTACTTTGCTAACTGATTGTTCGTATCGACTTTCCAATGTATTCAACGGATCATTATGCAGAGGATTGCTCTGTTGTATTTGAAACATCGAGGGCAACCGTGAAAATAGCATCCTTGGAATTCAAACACTTGATTTGTGTCGCTACAAAAACCGTCTACTTTATGTCCCTTAACAATGGTTTCTATACCCTTAGCGGCGTGTTGAATTTTGATTCCTCTTTGATGTTCCTCCCACAACATCCATTGGATGGCAATTTTTGACTGATTTTCACGCCATCTATAGCCCCCTTTTGGAATTACCCCGATCGTCTCAGGTTTTAAAAAATTGCGTCTAAAGACTTTGTTACAGCATGATGCAATAGTGGTGCTTTCCTGGAAGGGATCGACTGTGGTTTCGGTTTTCATCAGGTCTCGAAATTTGAGACACGCCTGTGTCAATATTTCCACATCGGAGATACAGTAATTCAACGATTTCTTTCTGAAAATCAAAAACGTATCCCTCCGCTTCTCTTTCGCCATGCCATTTTAATAATTTTTCCCGAGTGTCTTCTTTAATGGTCGGGATCGTAGAAGTCGAGCGCTGGAATTGGCCCTAGATAATTCTGATGAGCCAAAGTGTTGAATAGATGTGGAAAGTATCCTTTCTTTAGCTCTTTCAAATCAAACGCCTTGGGTAGAGCAGTTAGAGGCATAGGAAAATAATTGAGAGAATCCAGAAATTTTACATTTCCTACCTCCATCAATATTAATTTTGTTCCTCTCATAATTACATTTGGGTACAGACTAGTCTTCTCTAAAATGTAACGAAGTAGAAACTGATGATCAATCCTCCACCATTATGCGCCAGTACAATGACTTTCTTGAATTTTTTACGAAGTGTCAGAATATGATGCATAAATGGAGAAATGACGTCTTGACATCGAAGAATCTGTAATCGAAGGCCACATTTCTTGCATATAGGATTATCGGTACATGATTCACAACATTGTTTGAATACACATAGATTTGGCTCATGAAGTAAAGATCCGTTGGGTAATTCCTTCTCCTGACGGGTTTCCAAATCGTAAAATATTAATAAGACATCATTTGATTTTGGAATTCTTCTGTCAGGCTGTATATAGCACATATGTTCAATTGGTTGATTTTTATAACATGTTTTACAAAGTATATGTCCGCAGATGTGATCATTACCGTTGTGAACTTTAAAACAGTCTACACATCTTTAATTTAGAACAGACCGATGGTAAATGAGCGTTAAAACATTCTTGTCCATAAAAGCTTCTATTACATTCTTTGCATTCGATGTGCTTCGTTTTCAGGCAGGCCGGAGATCTTTTACAAGCATAACATTGTTTATCACATCTATGAATTTGTTTATTATTATACGGAATGTGGCAGTTCTCACAAAAATAGCTGCAGCAAAAAAGCAGCAGTGAGGGATGTTATGACGCTGTAGTGCCCCTCGTGATAGATTAGGTTAAGCGTCGGACCAGTGGACACGCCTTCAAAAATGACGTCACGACCTTTGCACCCAAACTTGTATACAACAATTTTGTAGTTTTGCAGATATCGTTGTAGCTTTTGAAGTTCAGGTATTCCACACCCCTCCTCAGGGATAACAATATCAGCCTTTTCCACAAGTTGTACAGCTCTTTGTCCTTGTATTTTTCCTCGATCGAGGCGGATTCTGCTATAATCTTGTCTTTGTTCAAATGGGCCATGGCGATGACAAGGGCTCGTGGGAGACACAAATTATCGGTGTTTTTAACGGTGATAATACCTCTTCTTTTGGCGCATTCCTCATCAAAGTATTGAAATTCTGACCTCTACCACGACCAGCAGGCAACCTTATGGACGTAACTCCCAAGCAAAAGTTTCGGTATTCAACCCCACAGAATTTGACTGATAGATGGAAGATATCTTCTCCCATATGTCCTCATTTGAAACGTCGGAAAACGATTTAAAAGCTATCCACCCTTGACCGCGGGTAAAGTCTTTGGAACAGAAAGTGAATCCAACTTGATCACTGGGCTGGAGATGTTCAGTTCCTTTGGCTACTATTTCCTCCAGAGCGTCTTTGATCCATCCCACAGGCTCGACGTCTTTAGGGATAGGTCGTATTTTAAATTCCACTTCTCGCCCATATAGATTAAATTTTTTAATCTTCTTAATAGAATCCTTAACGACGAAGAATTTTTCCATTTTTTTAAAAACTAAAACGTTAACTAGCGACTAAATCTGAACTGAGCACGTCTGTTCGCTGTAGATAACTGACAAGATAATTTGCGGTGATTCATAGGTATTTATAATCTCAATTTTACCCCCACCACTTTTTAACTGACCACAGTTTTCAAGGTCACCGCTGGCCGGTATTAACTCGTTGACAGCCTGCGCTCCCTGCCCATTCACCCATGCTTGACAGCCCCGCCCGGTACTTCGTGCATATCACCGCTACGACTACACCGGCGCTGAACTCTAACCTCATTTGCGACGTAGGTGATTGCCTTGTTGGAATCTATTAGATACACAATATAGACTGTACTATGTTTTCAATATTGTATCAATGTTAAAAATTAACTAACTGTATGCACCACATATGAGCATTCCATTTTTATATGCACACTGAATATGACGTGTTGACTATTGAGATCATCCTATACGCATTGTTCCCGCGAATTTTATACGTTTTCCATTTAAACTGAATCCGCAGAATTGCATCTATAATTACCGTTATTCATCGGCTTTTATCGATCTATATGCAAATATTTACCGCAAAACATGAAATGAGTCACATCACTTACGCATAGACGTTATACTACACCTTACTATCGTCGGCTGTCTGAATCACTTCCGGTCGGGTGCGCCATCTAACGGGGCCCGCCAATCAACATATACCATCAACCCGTTCAAACTTCCCGCCGTCTGATCCACCAATCAGAGCACGCGGTGGATCTAGCGGTTCCCGCCAATCAACATATACCATCAACCCCGTTCAAATTTCCCGCCGTTTGATCCGCCAATCAGAGCACGCGTGGTGGATGTGGTGGGCGTGGCCAAAAAGTGGAAGTGGTGGGGGGCGCCCAGAGTGCACCAGTATCTACTGTTTTACTTTCTCAAAAATTTCTTATCTTAATTAATTTTATACAGAATATATAAAATACTGATACCTACTATAGATGATTTTTCAAAGAGTGATGTGTAACCTTGGCGGCATAAGGAGTTTCGAAGACTCGCGTTGATTACTTGTGCATCCACACGGGGCTTACACTATAAGTATCCCTACACGATGACGAGTATGGTTCATAAAAGGAGATCAAGATATGCTCCACCCCTTACAACACTTGTTCAAAAAGTTTTTCGGAAAATGAGCAGGAGGCACTGAAACGAACGATTTTTCTTTTCGTTTATTGTTTATAGCTTGGCCGCCAATGGATCGATTTTCAAAATCTACGGTTTTTCGTTTTTGGCATCATAAGCTTGTGGCAAAATTTTATCAATGCTTTCCGAGTTATACAGGGGCCAATGATTAGCGGACAGGCAGACAGACCGACGAAAATGGGTGACAAGGTTTTTCATTATGTACATGTCATATAACATAAAAAAACAGAATATCTCAATTTCGTAATTTGGCAAAACATAAAATCTATTCAGACATGATCATGAGTATACAGGACGTCGTATCGGCAACTCCATCGATAGATTTCTCAAAAGTAGGCATATGGTATTTTTGTATATTTGGGAGTATGGTAATGTCGATGTGGCAACGTCAGCTAAAATATTTTCAAGATGGTGACACTTCCGGTTATACCGGAAGTTGATGCCAACTTGCTGATTTTGAAATGGTATATTATATTTACTTAATATTCGGATTCTACATAAAATTCTAATCACATTTTATGTAATCTCTTATACTCAAGTCTAAGGTTTTGAAATATTTCAAATTTATGTAAAAAAGACGTTTGCAGGCCCTAAAATAATTGTTTGTTTCCCCTTTGTACAACACCTTAATGTTTAATTTGGATTGATTTTCTGATAAACAGGGATATAGTTTAATAGACTTTGAATGATATTTCGACAATTATTTATATAGGGTGGTCAAAAAATTGATATAAAAACTGAGTCTCAAAAATTGCCAAAAGTCGATTTTTTCGAATGAAATCATTCTTATAAGTTTATCGCATCCAGCACTAAAAATTAGCGTAACTTTATACAGGGTTATTCTATTTCAAAAATGTCTACTGTTCGAGTAATTTGCAATGTATTACTTTTCTATTGTAAAACCCCTATAAGTACAGATTCAGTCTTTTAACTAGTTGGCTATGACGGCGGGATGCGGAGAACAAACAATTGCGCTCTACAAAAACGTCACTTTATAATAATGTCCTGCATTTGACAGTTATTTATAAATTATTTTTAATAATCATGACCGCGCGTTTAAATTTCACTTACGTGTATATAGTTGTATATTACCCAATATTTCGATTCTACATGAAATTCTGATCACATTTCATGAATCTCGTATACCCAAGTCTAACCGTTTTTGACATATTTCAAATTTTATGTCAAAAATGATGTTTGCATGCTATAAAATAGTTGTTCATCGCATCCAGCATTAAAAATTAGCATAACTTTATACAGGGCTATCTATTCCAAGAATGTATACTTTTCGAGTAATTTGCAATTTATTACTTTTCTATTGTAAAACTCCTGTAAGTACAGATTTAGTTTTTTAATTAGTTGGTTATGACGGCGGGACGCAGATAATAAACAATTGAGCACTACGGAAATATCACTACGTCTAAATTTAAGCTTTTAATATAATTAATAATTTTCATGTATTCACAATCAGAATAATATGAAGATCAATTATGATAAGTCTGCTAGTAGATTTCCCAACAAGCACACATACAATGAAATGAATAACAGGAAACAATAAGGTATTTCGATTTATATTTCAATTTCATACTATTATAAAACAAAATCAAAACATAACAAGCAACAACTTATTTTGGTAGATGTTCAAAAGGACCACCTCCAACCTTCAAACATTTAGAACATATAACACGTATTAACTCCTGCACTTCTGATGAGTGGCAGTTCTTATGATTTCCGGACTCAAACTAGTAAATGCATTTCTTACTCTCTGCTTACAGTAATCTAGAGTGGTCAGTGGGTTCTGGTAAACAATATTTGTTATGGTCCCCCATATAAGTAGTCCAAGACTGTTAGTTTTAGCGAACGGAGCGGCAACATGAATGGTCCATTATTAGCAAACCATTGATCGTAAAACGTAGCTTCTAGGAAATTGTTTATTAGGTATCCGTTGTGAGGTGGGGCACCGTCATGTTAACAGAATACATTTCGATGATCAGCAAGTGGTAAATTATCCAAGTAATTGTTTTCTAAATTCCGAAGTATGTTCAAATAACCCTCGCCTAAAAATATTATTGGGTATTAATAATGATAATTTTTATAAATGCATAACATTTTCTTTGATACCCAAATATTTTTAAATGAGATAAATTAGTACTAATGTTCGCAATGCGGAACTTATGTTTTAAAAAACTTACACTACTGGTATTTGTATATTGCACATTCTTATCAGTTTCTTTTATAAGAAAAACTGTTGATTGCTAACTTACCATTCAAATTTTCTTCATAAAACTGAAGAGAGACAACTTGATTACCTCTGACAGCGCAGTAGTATATAGTATATTGAACAGCCAATTGTATTGAAAGTTTCTTTCTCTATTACATGAAGGTTCTCGTTAGCCCAGTAATGAGAATTGTGTC